GGAATCACTGGGATTCAAGTATTTCGGGAATCATGTACACATTAAAAGGGAGTTGTTGCCCCCTCGGTTCCACAGTAGGTGTGAACCGTGCACCCAGAAAACTCCGTTTTTTGTTTTGTTTTTTAAATCAGAACTTCAAAAAAAATATATATACTTCACTTTTGAAAAGCATACACACACAGTTATTTGTGTGTGTTAAAATTGTTCATAATAAAATAGCACACAGACCCTTAAGTCATAAGGCCACACAAAATGTTGTTCACTCTAAAATGGTTGGCGTCTTGTGACGCCAAAATATTGGCGTTCTCAGACGAAGAACGCCGACCAGTTTTCAGTGTTACGTCGCTTATTGATACCACTTTGCTCTCGCAGTAGCGCAGTTGACAATAATATTGACGTATCGCACCGTCAGAGAAGGGGGTGAGGGGGAATAACAGGTTGGGAAGAGAAGAGGCGGTGGTCGTGGTTGGTGGTGGGGGGGGGGGGGGGGGGAGAGCAGTACGTCACCTGTGGGCGGCACGAAAGCGGCACACGCAAAAAAAAAAGGATTAGCTGCGAAAGCTAATGTATTAGCTGGATTAATAAAAGATACTAATATTAGCTAGGCCAGCTAACTTTCTAGTTCATTCGGGCAAGGTCATACAGTGGCTGGTCAGTACTAAGGATGGCGAAGAAGTTAGCAGCTCCAGCTAATTTTACTACCCATCACGTATCCAGCTAATGTGTTTTTTGCGTGCATAGATAACGATATCATCCACGGACGTATTGCGAGGCGCATCAGGCGTGACCGATCAGGCGAGAGCGACCCTGCGCACGCTGATTAGCAACAACAGTCATGCACCGCGACGGGCAAGACGGGCGTGGCGATGGGTATGCATGAGCGGGCCGGACAAACTGCGCGCGATAACGAACGCACGGGGCCATGATGGTGGCGCCGCTCCGCAGCTCTATGTCGGCGTGGCCGTTTGCCCGACAAATTAATTCGAGCGAGGGTCGTCCCTGTCTGGTGTGTGTGGGGGGGGGAGGGTGTGGGGGTGTGTGTGTGTATGAGAGAGAGAGAGAGAGAGAGAGAGAGAGAGAGAGAGAGAGAGAGAGACAGACACAGACAGACAAAGACAGACAGACAGGGTGTGTGAGTGTGAGGGCTGACGCGGGCAGACTATCGCGCGCCGCGGCGGCGGCGTCCTGCTCTGTCAGAATCAACCCACTCGCACTCAATAACATGAGTGCACGAGAGCGGACGATACATAAGTGATGGGGGAGGGGGGGAAGGGTTCCACGGGGAAACTCTGATTTATGACCACACGGCTTCTGATAAACCTTACACTGGAATAACAAAGGTAGGTCCTCTGTTTAGGGCACTAAAAGGTTTACTGCCACTGCCTGCAGAAAGGTACTAATTTTTAGCACCTGTAAAGGGCTTTTTGGTGTCTACATAGAAGCACTCAACTGAAAATTGCTTCAGCACCCCTTCCCTTTTTCAAGTGTAGTGACCACCTGTCGGGGG